TACGGTGAAGTGTCACTACTGCAATATTGCGTTAAATGGTTGGACCGTTAACGACATTCCGATATTGGAACATTTGAAATGGTCATCTCGATGCCAATACGCCGTCGAAGTTTCGAAGAGGCGACGACAGTCTCCATCGGCGGAGGATCGTCGCAGCAATATCGAAATTGCCGTTGTCGCGAAAACTACAGCTGCAAAAAAAGCAACGGAAGAGACATCGATGGAAATTGTTCGAGACGTTTGCGGATGGAGACGAGAGGGCAAGCCGTTCGAAAAAAAAAATGCCGCAATTTCTGCGCGAAGAGCATTCGAACACTGCTCCGATAGAATGCGTACCTTCGTATGTTACGGAATCGGCGAAACTGCAGGTTTGGAACGATCCGCATATTTCACTCCGATCACGGTGGCTCGATTGGTCGAACAAGGATTCGCGAGAAACGGACGCAACGTTGTGTATTTCGAATGTGGAATGTTATTTGAATTGAAGGATCATCGAATAAGCGATATATTGAACGAACACGCCGCTTCGTCTTGCGAATTATTCAACGAGACAGTGGTCGAAACCATGGTTTAATTATTGTTTTTCTTTCGTTTTTTTCGACCATCTTCGATGTTGCGATTCTTTCTTTTAACCGCGACGTTACCATCGTCGTTGATTCTACAGTTCCATCGATTTTTAATTTGCGATATTTCACGCGAGATATAATCGAATATTTTTTCAATCGCACCTGCGGAAAGAGTTCCGAATTCTCTCAATTTTTCTTCGTCGAATCGATTGAGCACCGTTGTTAATGTGGCGCCTATTGCAAGATCGATGCCTATTGATTCTTTTATCATAATCAGATCACTGTGTAACTCGTCACCACGTTCTCCACACAAACGTAAATTCTCTACTATTTCCACGATGCATGCTAATCTTTTCAAATTTTCAACAGTCGCGAACCGTTTGTACGTGTTGTAAATCGTAGTCAACGATTGCGCCGTGAGCATTGTATACACCATTCTGTCTAATGGATTTTCCAAAACATACGACATCATACCGAACATAATGTGTTCCACTCGCGGTTCATCGTAAGCTTCACATGCCAACTTCCATAATTTTTTGTTCGTTATCGTATCGTACAGCGCCGTAACATCAGCGTCTATACCTATCAGTTCAAAAAAACAAGCGCATTCGTCAACGATGTCGGAACTTCGCAAACCGTATTCGCCAAAGACACCGTAGCAATCAATGCGGATCGCAAACGTTGCGATTCTCCCTTGTAAGAACATTGTTCTTCATTGTTGCCGATAAACATCTTGTCCGAGAGAAATAAAGAAAAATCAAAGAAAAATTACTCTCCTGCGAAACTGACGATGTTTGAAAGTTCTGTCGATTGTATCAAATGTTTATGGCCTTTTAAAACATCCGTTTCTTGCGTGTACAGTCGTGGAATTTCGAGCGAAAATGTTAGCGACGTAACGCTCAAACGCAACGAAGAAGACGAAACGTCTTCTTCATTGTCAATGACTGTCATATTCAAGAAAAAAAATCGAACGCGATCGTCCGATAGTGATAATTTAACAATGATACAAAAAAAAGAAAGAAAGAAAAATAAAAAATTACGTCGCAAACGCATCGTCGATGAAAATGTGAAAAAGCGAAGAATTGTCGTTGACGGCGACGATGCGAAAAATGTCACCGCGGCAGCTTCTGTTCAGCAGCAGGCGACGAATGCTGATGATGGAACGTAATATCGATCGCGCTTGGTCGAACATATCCGTAACATCTTTGTACATCGGACGCGTTAATGATGATGCTCGTATTGTAATGGAACGCAGCGATTTGAACTTATTTCATTTTTATGTAGAAAACGAATCTAGCGAAGTGCAAACGACGCAAAAAAAAATGATAAAAATTTTTCTTCTTACACCGATACAGCCGCAATAATGAGATTGATATCCGTTGCGATGCAGGACGTGCAACAATGCAATTTGACCTCGAAACACAGTGTTCTTCTCAACGATGAAACCAGAAGCGATATCGATGACGACGCAAATGTCGATATGTCGAATTTTGAAAAGAGTAATGAAAATTTGGAACGTTCCGTATATATTGCTCTAAACAGGAGTTGTTCTCAACGAAAAATAATCGAAATTGCTTGCGAGTTTGTTACACGTGACGATTTAATTTTGGACATTGGTACGATATCTCAGGAGCTCACACTTAAAATTTTTCGCGTATTGTCGAACACGCCTTCGAATGTTATAGTGTATTTCGTGGTAGGGCGCAGACGGCTCGGCGATCTATTGCACCAGTTTCATCAATTGCCAAAATTGGTGTTCACTTCTGCAAAAACATCGATTTTGAATTGTTGCACCGCTGCTCCAATCGCTGATCGTGTATTGGCGTATCGAATTTTGTGTTGTATCACGCTTTCCATGAATCCGATCGAACATTCGACACGATTTGGTTCGCGCTACAGACATATGCGCGCTTTATTGTTCGTTTTGGCTAATGTAAATGCTCGTTTAATAGTAGAAAATTCAGGAAAAAATACAAATCTGTCTTTGAACATGCAAAGTTTAGGAAAAGCTTATCACGATACTGGTATGCACATTGTTTCCGAAAAGAGCATTCAACAGGTATTGGAGCTTTCTAAACAAAATGACAAATACGAATGCAAAACCAATGGATTATTGGTGAATCAATCGTTGAGTAAAGTTTCGAAGATCGGTATAAACGCACGTAGTATCACGCGGACGATAGGACGTTTGAAGCATATTCGCGCAAAAATACAAACAGTAATTTTTTTGCACACCCACCAGTCCGCTTTTTGCATGCGAACAATGAATAAGGAAAATGGAAAGTTATGGAAGAATCATGTCTCGCAGAAAAAAGAAAATTCATAAGACCGATAAATATGAAGGATATGCGGATGTGTTAATTCGTATTTAATGTGTATCGATAACGAGTCAAAAGTACGTCGTCGCGGGGTTGTGTGCAATGTAAAAAACAGAGAAAATAACAACGATGTTGAAATAAGAACCATTTTAACGAAAGCGATAAAGATTTACGAAGATGGTAGCAGAGAGATACCACTGATGCCGATATCGCGAGGTTCTTGCTCCTCCAAGACAATGGATCTTCGTCGTCGACGTCGTCGACGCTCTCGTCCTCGTTCTTCTCGTACTCGATCCCGTTTTCGTTCTCGTTCTTCTCGTACTCGATCCCGTTCTCGCTCTCGTTCTCGTTCTCGCAAACGCCGATCAAGAAAGAAGCGCGTTATGTTTCAGGAATAACTTTTCTTTGTTTTATAAGACCCATCCTTCCCCCGAGCGCGGACGCCGGCGGATCCTCGGCGCCCAAGGATCCGAGATACGGGGATCTTACCGCGAACAGCAGCTGGATCCTATATTTCCAGAAAATACCTGCGAGAGTCGTCGTCATTAATCATTCTACTCGCGTGTGAGCGATCGAGAAAATAACGAGCGACATTGCCCGTCGCGCGCCTAACCGACCATTTCGCCGTCGGCGACAACTGGTACGCGCTGAAAGCTACTGTTGCGCCAATCGGTCGAATGGAAAAGTGAGACATACACACACTGACAGCGCGCGATTGGCGCCGTCGCTTGTCACTACGCGAGAAGAAAAAAAGTGGAACGAATCCACCGGAAGTCAAACAACAAAATAAATTAACCGCTTTTATTGCACCGGTCCCTCCGGTGCCAATATACATATATCATCGCGACACCACGCGTGTCGACGCATTATCGGCGCCGTATTTTCTCATCTCGGCGCGCGAACCGGACGGCGGAGTGTATTTTTCTCCAGATCACACACCTCTTCTTGCGAACCACCTTGTGTATATATATATATATGTGTTTGGAAAATAAACAGACCCTGGGAAGAGCTATTGAAAAGGGATAGGGTCACAATGGGTCGCCGTCAAATGCGCCGCATAATCCCAGCGTCCATCATCCTAACAGCATTCCTTTCTTATCGATCATGACACAAAACAAGGGCAAGCGCTACTGTAAAATGACACGACCACACGCTATCTAAAAGCGACAAAGGGGCCTTTCAATGCGTCTGCGATTTTATCCGCCTTTGTATACAATCGTTAGAACTAAGGCCCTTCAATACAATTAGGTTCTTAAGATTAATTATGTCAACCGGATGCTACCGGGAATTTTTCCAGAATAATCGCCCTCCACGCAACCTCCTCTCATTGGCGATCGTCATCCACCACCCCCAAAATCTTCCCTATATAAACCTCACTCTCCTGTCGCGGACACACTCTCTTTTCTCTTGCTCCTGGCTCGCTGGACCATCGTCACTTGTTGCAATTCTTACATCGCGACTTAGTCTTTGTTTCATAGACCACGATCAGTCCGGAAGTTCCAGCTTTGTTAATTCTTCACTGCGCAACTGAGGAGTCCTTAAAATGGTCTTTTAGATATTTCGCGAGTAATTCAATCATGTGAATACCGCGAGTGCAACTATCCAACGACCAGACGACCCAACATCTTGAGAGAAGGACCACCTGTTCGAGAAGGTTCACCCCATCTACGATCCAGTACGAGTACGATGAATACCCTACGAGGAGAGGATAGGCTCGAGGCCCTCAGGCTCGCAGTTAGAGATCTAAACGAGGCTCGCGACGATACCTTAGCCGCACAGCTCAGAGCCTTTTCCGAGCTTTTAACCCCCAATAGAAATTCTCAATTACCAACCCCTTCTGACGAGAATACCCCGTCAATACCTCCTGGTTCCCCTCTCGCCCCTTCCTATTCGCCAGATCCTAATTACCACCGACCCCTCCTACACAACCGTATCGTGACTCTCCCTCACCTTACCCCTGGATTTCGCCTCCTCCTTCTCCCCCATATTATCTTAATCTACCTTCGTGTTCCCCCACACCAGACCCACGGACCCCATCTCGACCTCCATCTCCATACGATTCCCCTATTTCCCCTTTTGAACCACCCACTCCCAACTCCTTACCCTCCCCTTAAACTACTATCGGTAAACTATCTGCCACACACACACACACACACACACACCGTATTGTATAATGTAACCTCGCTGTTTGTTCTATATTGTAACCTCGCCGTTTGTTATTCTATATTGTAACCTCACCGTTTGTTGTCCTATATTGTAACCGCGCCGTACATTATTTTATTTGGTAACCTCACCACTCGTATAATACTGAAATGTCAGCCGTAGTCATTGAATAAATATCGAAATTGTCACTTTAATTTTCCTATTTTATTTAATATTCATACCATCGCGCGTTCACTATCCTTTTCCCCAATTATTCCGCTCGCGGTCCCATCCCAGGTAAAGGGTTTCGGTACCTTGACCTAAGTTTGGGGCACTCGCTTACGCGTGCGGCCGTTGCGTTCTTTTCCAGGACGTAATACTCTATTCCTAACGATCCTTAAATCATTTGTGTTAAATGTTATGTTAGAGCCAAATTTCCTGCATATTTAAGACCGCGTAACTTTCACGGTCTATTAGACGGACATATGCCCGGTATTAGATGTCAACTATGTCGAGACGAATTATTAGAAATGAGACGTGCTATTTTCTGCGACACGTGTCCGAACGTATATATAAAATTAATGCGCACATTGAGAGCACGCGGGCACGATATTTCCCGCGTACTGCATCTCTTATTTGACTGCAATCACTTAAAGTTAATGAATCTCGTAAAGATATGGGATTTCAAACAGTATTTCAATAACGTAATCAATACGGTCACCCGTAGGCACTCGGAAGTTAAACAGAATGTGCCGACAACAACCACCGCAAGCCCGAGTATATCCGATATTACATAACTTCCTAAATTTATACAACGCTAAATGCATGTTAACCGCCGCACATCATAACATCGGAAACACTTTTGCCAGTTGTATGCAATGCTATATAAACATGAGAGAATCACTACAGCAAAAATTAAAGTTAAGCGTATTTCATGGCTTTGTTGAAGGACAGATAATACCATTACGCTGTTTAATATGTAATATATCTCTTGCATTCTTCGAATCAGTATTACGCTGTAGCGATTGCCTCCCCGCGTATTATTTAACCATTAGTAACCTGCGTAAAACCAACGTCGATATTCACAACATATTCGAATTATTATATTGCCACGGCTTGAAAGAAGTCGTAATTTTTAATGCGAAGACAACACGTAACGTAAAATTAATTACCAAACTCGAAGATGCTGAATAATAAATGCCACTCGCGGGCAAAAATACAGCAATTAAATCATTGCAGGAACGCCATCAAAATGTATTTACTCAGGCCACCTAAAACATGGTTAGGTCCAATAATGAGAGATTTTCCAAATCCACACCTTGCCAAGTGCATAATTTCATCAGCTTATTGCACTTCCAATAACTCAGTTATTTGCTGTACGCTTTGCCATACCACAAAAGATGCAGCGACAAACGAGAACTTAAGTTTTAACACATTCCATGCCTTCACTGAAGGAGATGTTAAATTTTGCAACTGTATATTTTGCGACAAACCCATCATCTTTAAGATACCAATAGAAAACTGTCGCGACTGTTTTACCGCTTATTTTGAAGTCAATTACGATCTATGTAACATATCAATCGACACTAACAAAATACTTGGACTTGTATATTGTCACGTTCAGAGCAAACTAATCTACCTAACTGTCGAGCGAGAACATGAAGGCGTAAAAACCGCCGAAAATATTATAGATAAAATAGAATACTGATACACAGCGCTACACACTAAGATTATTTGCGATATACTATACTTTCGTTACAATCCCCATCAGCGAGGGGTCCCCGATTAATATTAAGCCACCTAGAATAATCTCTCTACTCAAAATATATATATACCCCTTTTTCCATCATTTATCTATTCAACAAGCGGCGGGTGTTCTCAATCTTCTCGGGTTATTGCCGGTGAATGCAGGTAAGCCCAAAACTATAAGGAGAGCAGCGCGTTTTCATTCCCGAGGGCCCGAGGACGTGACATATAAAATTGGTGGCAGCGGTGGGATAGGTTTCCGCTGTTGGATAGGTTTCCATCCCATTAGGAATTCCCCCGATAGAGAGGCTGTAAAACATCTGAAAATTTTTAATTTTTCTGTCACAACACACTGATCGGTTATTCGCATAAGAAATCGTATTGTAAAAATTATTTTTCCTGTAAATTTCGTGAATCTCGCAAATTATCATGTTATCCTACTACACATATTTCTTCTTGTAACACGCATAAAAACATGACACACAACACACGGTCAAGAACCTCCTCAGAGTCCCCTCAAAAATTACATCCGATACCGCGTCAAAATTTGATCAGACCACTATAGCTCCTTATACGGTAGAAAAAGTTGAAATCATAACGGAACAAATTGTTACTAAACAGCGTTTATTACAAAATCAGTCAGAAGCAATTCAAGCACAGCAATTAGAGTTAGAGAGGCAACGAGAAGAATTTGAAAAAGGTAAAATCACTACAGTCGATATGCAAAATATATCAAGTTCCATTCGCAATTTATTACAGTTAGTAACCTCCTTACAACAAGAAACATGCTCTTTACAGCAAGAAATGCATACATTCTAAGAAAATCAAAATGTTCAATTTAAAGTAGACTCCAACGTACAGCAAGATGCGTAATCAAATTTATTAACTACTAGCGAGCCTCAGCATACGCATAGAAACCCAAACGATACGCCATTTGAATTACCTCGAACTTTCTCCCCCATCTCCCATAACGATTACTCCCCTATACGTCTTAAATATATCGCCGATTCTATTCCTAGGTATGACGGTGAACGAATATCAGTATTCCAATTCAGTAAAATTTGTGAACGCGCGCTCGATCTTATACCTCCGCGACACGAGCATTATTTAGTGCAGTTGATTTTAAGCAAGTTGCACGGGCACGAGTATACCACAATCGACGGTTCAGAATTTACTGATGTTAAAACCTTGTTGAGAAGATTAAAGAAAATTTTTGGTCCCAATAAATCGTTGAATCAATACAAAGGAGAACTCGGTAACGCATATATGAAACATAATGAAAGCGTGTTTGATTACGTAGCTCGAATTAAAGAATTACGAACCGCTATTATCGATCTTCAAACAAAATCTCAAGGCATACTCGATAGTCATATCGCTCGCGAGATAGATCGCGACGTGCTAGATAGTTTTATTAACGGGCTATCTTCAAAATTATTGACACGCGTAAAAATGGAAGGCTTGATACAAGGAATTTATGATTTATATGAAGCCTTTATGCGTGCAATTCAGGTATCAAAAACTATGGAAACAGAAGCGTTGCGCCGAAAACCGGCATACGTCCCCCGACCTGCCCCCTCCTTCTGCGCCGAGATATCACCAAGTCAGATTATCAATCCCCTCCTAGCCCTAATCGAATTTTGCAAAGACCGCAAGCGCCCTTTATTAAGCCCCTGATTCGTGGACAATTAGGTCCGAATACTCCCTTTTCATGCTATATGAAACGCCGCGTCATGTAACGAAAGATTGTCGAAAACTCGCATATCGTAAGTTGTTAGAAGCGACGCCGGGACCGTCGTAAAGTAGAGATGATTCAGAAAACGCGAATCGCGTTCCGGTCACAGCTGGCGCCCGCCGGGATGCGGAACAAACGGGACGTCCGCCTTAGAAGAATGTACAATTCGCCGATCAGAAAGAAAACTAATACCAACGTTCACTAATTTTGCACCGAGTAATAATTACCGAAAATAATTCTATCTTCGCTAGATTTAATCGACCCGTGCACTTTTATTATTGATTCCGGATCCGATGCAAATTTATTATAAAATAGTATTGTTAAACCGCATGTCGAACTAAATAAAGAACGAACTTTATTATTGCAAGGCATCGCACCTAAACCATATAAAACCTTAGGGTCACTTACGATTTCTTTGCTGGGACGTCCCATTGAATGTAGTCCCAGATCGTTTTGTTTTTCTTCATCCCGGAATTCTTGGAATAGATTTCCTGAAATAACATAAGGTAAATGTCGACTTCGAGAAAAAATATATACGTTGTGAGAATATTGAAATACCTTTTGCAGGAACGAATCGAATCAATGTCAAACCAAGGTCAGTTGTTCCATTTCACGTTAACGTTGCAAACCCTGAAATACAACAAGGATACATTCCTACACTTGATACACCGTGAGGCGTGTTCGCCGGAAACGCCATTGTCACTAATAACAAGGGGAAGACCCACCTACGCGATTACTACGATTACACAGCTCCACAAAAAAAAATTTTCATTGCCAGGGATCTGACTATGTATACTATATGTTTTTTGGGTCGCTGAAACCGAATCCATAGTCGAAATTTCTCTGTCAGATCCGGTTCTTTTCCTAACTTCAAAAAACAGGCCAAAGACCATGAAATTCAAGCTAAAAATCTAATAATTCGATAAAAACTCAAACAAAATCCCGCAATCATATATTTCATCAAATCCATAACTATGTAATCTCAAACCTCCATAACCTCAAGCCTCATAACTTTAAAAACCTCATAACCGAGGCGAGAGGACCTCACGCAAATAAAGCACCCCGTAACGTGAGAGGCGAGGGGACCTCATGCAAATAAAGCACCCCGAAGGGAATAGAAGCCTGCTACGTCCACGTCGTTGTTCCTAGGTTCGGCAAAATGTAGGTTTTGTGGCGAAAGAACGTGGTTTATTATTTGGTTATGAGGTTTCAATGTATAAGATGTTAAAAGGCTCACCTGTTTCGAACATATTAATTTACAGTGCTTAAATGCGTAAATGTCATTTTTTATTGGGTTACGGGGTTTCAGAATCATAAAGTTATGGGGTTTTTGAGGTTATGAGGTTTTAGGATTACGTGGTTTTGAAGTTGAGAGGTAGTGAGATTGAAGGACAAATCTGTTTCAAACGTATTGATTTACCCTGCTTCAGTGCGTGTAAGTCTTTTTTTTACTTGGTTTAGGGGTTTTAGGATCATAAGGTTATGGGATTTTTGAGGTTATGAGGTTTGAGGTTATAGAGTTTTGAGATTATATGATTATGAAATTGATGAAATATATGATTATGGGATTTTGTTTGGGTTTTTATCGAATTATATGATTTTGAGCCTGAATTTCATGGTCTTTGGCCTGTTTTTTGAGGTTAGGAAAAGAACCGAATCTGACAGAAAAATTTCGACTATGGATGCGGTTTCAGCGACCCAAAAAACATATAGTATACATAGTCAGATCCCTGGCAATGAAAATTTTTTTTTGTGGAAATGTGTTATTTAATACAACCGAGTAGGAATATAATATTTTGATCCTCTCGGTAGAACTTCTTGAATACAACTCTCTCAGCTCCGAAGTGAATTTCGACTTAGGTACGAAAAAATTTTGCGGAGACATGTCTTTTCCTTCCCTTGTTCTTGACACACACACATTGGATACATAGGACGGATGACCCGGCCGAGGCGCGGAGCCCCCCTGTGATACTGTTGACCCAACAGTTTCTGGTCCTTTGCCCTCATTACACACACAATACATAATTAACTCAGACACCGGAATTGACGCGGACTTAGGTACCACGTCCATTCACGGAGCCGTCGAAATCCGAGGGCAAACGATGGCCGCAGGTCTCTTGAATAATAACGTTAACCGTGCTGATGAAGTTTTGAAACTTTTGCGATTAGAATATTTGAATTCAGAAGAGATAAATAACGTAGAATCTTTGTCCGAGAATACGCTATCAGATTCCATTTACCAAAGGAAAAACTTGACGCTACGAGTGCAGCGCAACGTTGTATTCACACAATTAATATTATACCTATTCACACAAAACAATATAGGTTTCCCCTCGTACACAAAGTCGAGATTGACAAACAAGTAAATAAACTATTAGAAGAAGATATTATTAGCCCCTCAACGTCCTCCTATAATGCACTAATATGGATAGTGCCTAAGAAACCCGATTCGCAGGGAAACAAAAAATAAAGAATGGTCATTGATACAGATTATTGAACTGTTGCGCGAGTCGAGTCGTCACGGATAATGTGGGGTGCCTTTCACAGCACGATAGAGCGGAAGGCGTTGGTAATGCTCGGTGTCAAATAAATTATCTCTTGTTGAAAAAATGAACTTGTCTTTATTACGTTGTCCGCCCGATACAATATTTCTAGTGTGATCGACAGCGTGTCGGTTCCCGAGAGTTGAAAATCTAAAGTCGCGCCCGCGCCGGTTTCACGTCCCCTTTTATCCTCTTCCTATGTCTCAATCAGAGGGGACGGTTTTGATGTGTCAGCGTCACTTGGGTGTGGACGCTGACCATCTTGATTTCGATATTTCATTTGCCAGAATGCAGAGTTGCATTTCCGTAAAGTGACGTTTCGTAATTCGAGGCCGTACTTTGTTTATGGCCATCGACCTGTCTCATCGTTATGCTTACAACAGAACGAAAAAACTATTCGAGATGCATATTCTTTACCAAATATTACAGATATTTTATACCAGTTAGGAAGCTCTAAATATTTTTCAATGCTGGATTTAGCTTCAAGCTTCCATCAAATACCAATGTCCACCGAAGACGCACATAAAACCGCTTTTTCTACTCCGTACGGACATTACAAGTTTAAGAGAATGTCATTTGGATTAAAAAATGCACCCGCGACTTTTCAGAGACTAATGGATACCGTATTATCAAGCCTACAAGGCAACGAACTTTTTGTATATATAGATAATATCGTTATTTATGCTTATTCATTGAAAGAACACGAATTTAAATTCGGCAGATTAATGAAACGACTCAAGAAAGTAAATTTAAAATTACAACCAGATAAATGTGAATTTTTAAGACACGAAGTAACGTATCTAGGTCACATTATAGGATCTGACGGCGTTCGCCCTGATCCTGATAAAATAAAAGCTATTCGCGAATTTCCAGTACCAATCAACCCGAAGAATATAAAACAATTCTTAGGTCTTGCCGGACATTATAGATGTTTTATTCCGAATTTTTCAAAGACTGCAAAACCACTAACAGATTTATTAAAAAAAGACGCATCTTTCGCATGGTCAAGACCTCAGACTGAAGCATTTGATATCCTGAGGAACTCCCTTTGTTCTGATCCTATTCTTCAATACCCAAATTTCACTAATACATGATGCGATCGTTCAACAGTGCCGGCGTCCCTCAGGTCGACGACGAAAGCAACAACGGCGAAGAGAACAGCGACGAAATTAGTGACGACGACGAAGAGAATCGTAGCAACGATAGAATTATTGGTGCTAGACGAAGACAAAAGACTCAATAGATGCCTGTTTCGAGATTTACCAGTTGCGGTGCGTAAACACGAAGATCGATGGTTGGAAGCCACGGTTTCTCGCTTCAACAGACGCACTTTAGTACCGTGCGTCAGATCTTATCGCGAAGCTGCGGTGCTGTCGTACACCTTCGACAAATTGGACGCATGCGGATCCACTGTGAATTGGTTGCGACGAACCGTCACCAAGTGCGATCTCGAGATGCAGAACAGACTGCTGCAGATGGGTCGCGCGTATACGAAAAAAAATGCAATTGTATCCATACGTGTACGAACGTTTTTACAATTTCTTAGTGGAACGAAACATGAACAAAGACTCCGTCGTGCCGATATGCGTGCAGGTGTTGACTTATTTGATCAATTATTCGTAGACCGTGACATTGGCGCAGTTTCACTATTACGTTTTTCAAAACAGCTGTTCGTTTAGTAAAGTTTGCAAATTTTTTCTTCGCGCGTGTAGTGACGACAGTTGTTCTTGGTTCGCACTCGTTACATACTGCATCGTTATCAGAAACTTAGCGACGGCAACAATCTTGTTATAACCAGCGGAATGTGTCTGACGGAAATGTTTCTGTATCCTCTGTTGGCCCGGCGCAAAACGGAACAATCCGTTCTAGATAACGACGAGGCCACGGGCCTATCTTTCGTCGCTCAGGCGAACGGATCTGTAACTCACTTCGATCGTTTGTACGGCTCGTTGTTCGACCGACCGGATCTTCTCTCCACCATGTGCGAGTTCGTCCTACGAAACATAAAAACACAATGGAGGAGGAAACGAAGAGGAAGAGGAAGGGATTACCGTTAACACCGTTTGTCGTTTTCTCATCGACAATAGCGACATATATTCGTCTTAGCCAATATGCTGCACTGGCGTTACATCGGTGCAAATTACATCGGTCCAGCGACGAATTGCATCGCGGCCGTACGCAGCGAGAAACAATTCGTGGAGTCTTTGGCGAATAAAATATCAAACACGGCCAACGAGACGATGAAACTTTTCAACGAGAACGGCGGAGACGACGATATCAGCGCAGGAGACAGGAGAGACAAGAACACCACTGCCGACGGCGATAGAAGCGACGACGAGGCGGCGGCGTTTCCGGCGACGCAGAATAGAATCGTACGTTCAACACGTGCTCTATCTCGTGTCGGAGTTTCTCGAAATCGCAGGTTCGCACGACTGCTTCAATCATTATCTCTATTCTGATGTGATACCTCAACGAAAAAGGACCGACGAGGCGTCTAGAATCACTCGCAAACGCGAATTCGCGAAGGAAAACGCTCGACTCGAGAGACGCGCCGACCGTGTCTCGAACAGTGTCACGACGATGGCCGAATCGTCATCATCGGCAGTGGCAACAGTGAAAGTTCCAACAATCGAATACCGACCGAATCCGGAAATGTTCAGAAAATGTGCTTCCTCTCTGATCGTATCGGTACCGAATACAAATCGCGATTCGTTTGTCAAACGTTGGATCTAATCGTGGTGTTTCCGAACGTACTGCGCGCCGAGGATGCGAAGGTCATATTGGACTCTCACGCGGAGTCTCGTCACTTCGCGGTAGCGATGATGATCAATCTGGCTAATTCGTTCGGTAGAAAATTGCTCGAACAACAAAATTCCGTGTTCTATTTGGTGGACGTTCTGACGAAGAGCGGAAAAGACGTTCGAAAGATGCTGTACGCCCCATCGGCGTATCAAGCCAGAGCCATGGACGACGGGGAATTTTGTCGCGATCACGCCGATGTTTACTCCGCGACGAAAGATTTTCTGGGCCGAAAACAACCTCGGAACACTACCGTCGATACCGCCGAAATGCTGACATCATCATCGCCGTCTCAGCCGTCGTTTCTCGCAAAATGTCGTACATTTCGCACTGATGTAGGACGCCTTTTGGACGATATCGTTAAGCGCGGTTGCAGAGTGGACTTGACGAATGTGCCTTTGAACAATGTTAGATACAAACGATCGCACGGCGGTGTCGTCGACGACGACGACAAACGCCGCCGTTTCGTCGTGCAAGCGAGCGATTTGTCGGAAGAAGACACCACCGCCGCAAACGAGTCGAATCCTTTCGCGAACGCTGACTCGATGCGAGAGTATCTGTTGTCTCGCGAGCTGGAAGAATGGTTTTCCGGCGACGCGGTAAGTTCCCACAACGAGGTGACGGTCGGTTTGTCCGACACCGAGATGATCAACGTCGCCATGTCTGTATATGTTTCTGCTTGTACGTGAAAAGAAACGCGCGAAACTGTTTGGCAACGGTGTTACCGCGACGACCGGGGTTAAAAAAAAAGGTCATCACCGCTACGCGACCGACAATTGGTTCATTCGGCTCATGCTCGATTCGACGGAGTGTCGCGAACGATTGATCGCTCTGTTTCCGGAGATGAACATTCACTCGCACGACACGCTTGCCAAAGGACTGAACGCTTATGTATCGAAGACTATAGATCCGGACGATTATTCGCCGAACAACATCGGAATGATGATCAGCACCGCAGTGGTGTCTCTGTACATCATGGGGAATGGAAATCGCGGCGTGCTGATGTTTCTGTTGGAATACATCACCGCTGTGCGATATCCCGGCCAATTCTTGAAAAGCGCTCTGTTGTTTCAAGGATCCAGCGACGGCGGAAAGAGCGAATCCGCGCACGAGGTTCTACGCACGATTTTCTCGTACAAAGTGACCGGCACGATCAGCGACGCTACTCTGCGACATGGCGTTTGCGACGAGGTGAACACGGACATTCAGAGCATGATGAGTTCCCACTTGCGTCAATGCGACGAGCTGGAGTGTCTGAACGCCGAACTCTTGAAACAGTTGATATCGAAAACTCCGATAAAAGATCGTTTTATCGATCAAAACGCGCAAGCCTTCATGAATCCGTCGAAGATCCTGATGGCCGTGAACGATTCGATAAATATGCGCAGCGACGCTGGAGTGGTGACTCGACTGAAGTACGTCGTGCGCATAGTGAATCGTTTCAAGATTCTACACTCGGTCGCGTTCGATTGCAAACAGGACTTCACAGATCACCATTCGACGGCGAGCATAGCTCATTAGATAGAAAACAATTACTACGCTTAGGGTGTAAACTTCGATGTGTTTCGAGTTGGAATGTTCCTGATGTTAGAACATTACACCGTCGACATGGCTGTCTACAACGAAACGATATACGTGGCGATAAATGCGCTCTCGGCTAATATGGAGGTGTCATCGTCGAATGGCGAATTATTACGAAAATTATTACAACGGCGACGACGTAACAGCGTCCGAGAAGAATCGTAAATTATGCGAACGAATGGATCGATTGCAATTGTGGCGGAAGAGCTGGTTTTACGGATTGATGGGTGAAGCGTCGATACGCATGGCCAGCGACGGTCGCGAAGGCTTGTCAATTT